TCACAAACTGCACTAAGTTGGAGCCTTAGCATCCCCAAATTACACATGGAAGCCAGGACAGATGTCAATGTTATGAGTGTTTCCAGCCTTCAGATACAGTCCTCTGTCAAGATATGTGCACTGTCCGGATCTCATGACCTTGTGTTCATATATGGTGCGTTTATTCTAAACGGGTGATAATATAAACAAAAATCAGTACGAAAATGTGAATTCTGATGAGTTATTGATGCTTTTCCATTTCTGAATATGCCAGATAATTTAAAATTTGTCAAAAATAAAGTAAAAGAGGGGTTAAATTCATAATTTATAACCGGATCTAGTAAATATGCAATTGGACTTGAGACCAGATCTTCTAACTAACCAGATTTGAAAATTTCCCTTCACTTCCTACCCCAATGATGCATTAGGAAGTCAGAGGAAAATGTCCTTAATTGAGGGGCATTCCCATTTTAGTTGTTCTCAAAACAGATGTCCCCATTGGACAATCTCCCCATATATCTTGTTCTGGGGACAACATTTGGATTTCCCATAATTTTTTTTCTCAGTAACAATGGTCAACAGTACAGATAAAGTAGAAAATTTCCCCAGTGGGGACACAGACAGCAATAAAAACTTGACAGAAGATGCAACCCTTTCCCACTTTATCTAAACCAAAACAAAAAAGGGTTTGCCTTGACAAGCATTTTAATTTCTTCCTGTTTTCTTCTTCAGACAATGAGAAGATCGAGCTACAGTGGAACACTGGCATTAACACCAATGTTAAGAAGATCCTTTCCAAACTTCCAGAATTTCAGTTCTCTTACCCAGAGGCTATAAAGACCTATGCCAATGATTTCCTGGACCATAAGGTTGCTCAGACTGACATGACCCTCCGCCATATTGTGTCACAATCACTGGTGGTAAGTTATTGTCAACTATCCATGACTTATACAGTATAAGAAGTCATGGATGTTACATTGGGCGTATTATTGCATAAGGAGATATCCAAACTGTTAAACTGCTTGAAATGCAATTGTTCAGTAACACAAAGCTCAGCTCTCACATTCTCCAAGTTTATAGTACTTGCAATGTCTAGCAATTTCTTAACTTTTGTATTCCTACAAGCCAGGTGTGAATGGAGCATTTTATGACACAATACTTTGGAGCTAATTTACTAACAAGGGAAGAGCAACGCACAGCAGCCAAGCAACATTTTAAAAACTTACGCAGTTTACAGTACTTATCGCTGAATTCTAATTCTGAAATTAGACACAAGTATACATAAAAGAAAAAAAAACTGCAAGGGTGGTAAGAAGGAGAGAGAGCACAGTCATAGTCAACAGTCCAGATGCAATTGAGGTTGATTTACTAAAGGCAAATAAACTATGCAAGCAAATTTGCATTGGAATTTTCCTTTAACATAGCGAAGGAGGTGATGATCTGCAGACTTCCATCATCCAATCACGTGCAAGCAAAAATATTTTTTTTTCATTATCCTTGCATATGATTGGGTATTCTTTGTAAATAGATTTTTCACTATATTCACCGAGTTAAGGTAAATTTCTCATGCAAAGTGAAAGTTCTGCAACATGAACAGCAGATTTCCTTTAGTAAATCAAACCCCAATGTGTTCATTGTAAGTTGTTAAATAAAGCCAATAGGTTTGGGGGGTTTCAGAAGCCACCCTTATCAGGGTTTTGGTGTATTACGCTGGGGAGTATCCGATCCACAGGTTGATAGCCTAGTATTATATTTGGTTAACATGCTCAAAATCTACTCAAGTCACTTGTTGAGAAGCTGCCTAATTCACCTAAGCCCTGATAAAGGTGAATTTCTAAAACTGCCAAAATGTGTTGGCTTTTAACGTATCCTGCAACTTATACACTGTCAGTACTGTAGACTATGTTTTGATACTCTTTTTTTATACCATCCTTGCCACTTTTCTTTAAAGAACCTGTTGGAGTCCCATGTAAGATACTGGAGGGTTGCCTTTGATAAATAAGTTTTTTGAATACCCATTTAAATTCCCATCTAAACAAATAAAAACCTGGCAGGGGTTTCCACATTTCCCAATACTACCTGAAACTAACATGATTTGATTTTATTATTTTCAACTTAATGTAAGAGAATGATGAATCCAATGACACAAATTGTCCCTTTACTAACTTAAAGACATGACGAAGAGTACCTACAATGTGAGAAATATTGTATGGCTTTGCTGATATTTTGGTAATAGTTCTCTTCTTGAGTCCCACTGGAATAATTTTATTTGGGTCCTTAGATTAACAAGTTTAAGAACCTCTGTTCTTAGCAACAGTGGAATGAGGCATTGTTACATTGTGGAATGTGGGGAGCCCCTAGAGATTGCGATGTAGAGGTGTTTACTATCTAAATTGGAAACAGTCTTTGAAATCACATGAAGAATCCCATCAATTATGCATCTGTACCTAATGTGTGAAAAGAATAAGAAACATCCTCTGTGTTGTTTTTGTGTTTTAGGCAACTGACAATTGGCTGCAGAAGGCATCAAATGAAAGCCCATATGCACAAACACTTGCCAATAAATTGACTGCATTGAAAGAATTGGATCTACAGAAACTGGGAATTCCACCATTCCCAGATGACCTGTTTTTGAAAAGGTAAGGAATGACCTGGTGTTGCTTTCATAAGTAAATAGTGCTATACCGATACAAGAACAGGAACTTGGCAAATGTCCTTTGAGTCCATTCATGTTAGGTTTGAGACTTTGCAAAAGAGTAATTTCAGCATTAGCAAGTTGTCTTCAGTATACAGTACATCAGCTATATAGCACGGAGGCATTTACTGAATCCAAGACTGAAGGAAACAATTTAGGCAATGCACTAGCCATTCTAACAGCTTGAAGAGTTTACCAACATCTTGGTTCTATGCTAGAACCTATCTCATTTAGAATGAACATATTTGCTTATCAACCTTTATCTCTTTTTTGCAGTGATGGAAGAATCAATTATCGCTTCAACAAGGACAGCATTACCATCAATATCCCGTTGCCTTATGGTGGAAAGCCATCTCAACAAGTGGTACCATGGGCAGTAAGGTCCCCAGCCCTGGAGATGAAGTCAGCGGGGATAAGTATCCCATCTCAAGAGTTCAGGGTTCCAGCTTTCACTATCCCTGAGTATTACCAACTCAGAGTTCCCTTAATTGGCCTTCTGGATGTCTCATCTAACTTTAATAGCAACTACTACAACTGGTCAGCATCCTATTCTGGAGGCAACGCTACTAGTGACATCTATCGGTTCACTTCTAGATACCAAATGAAAGCTGATGCCGTTTTGGATGTTTTGTCATATTCCATTGATGGTAGGTTGTTTTTCTAAGGAACTTATAACTTTTTGCTTAGATATTTGTGTATTCACAGGTCTATTATCTATACATTTTTATATATAAAACTGTCCTGAAGTAGAACCCAATATGAGCGTATGAAAAGCAACTTCAGAATCATAACCTTATAGTAAAGAAGTGAGGGAGTCCCATAATCCTAACTAGAGAACTCCAGCACTTTCCTGATAAAGCCATTTGAGATTGCAATACAACAGAGAAGTGACATTTCCTACATACAACAACCTAATATAGATATATTTAGTGTATGATCCCAAGGGCTGGCACTGATTGATAATAGGTGAAAAAGGAGCTGCCCAGTGTCAGGCTTAAGAGTGTGTTGCATTTCTTGGCTACTCAAGCTAAAATAGTTATGTAGGTTTTGGGCTGCGAAGATTTTAATTTTAATATATGTATACTAACATTTATGGTCTTTATATAAGTTAGACTCTTCTTGTTGTTTTGTGCAATGCTTGGTGGACTGAAGACTGACTAATTATTTACAGCTCTCATTGTATACTATTTTATAGTAATGACTTTTCCATGATAGCAAATTCACCAGCAAGTGAAACCTAAAACTTCAGCTCCTGGTATCACTATGATTGTTGTGAAGTTAGGACTCCTCTCATAGATGCTGTGTAGGGAAGGTCATAAGCAGTCAAAGAATTGTTTTCCCAACTTGGAAACCTCCTATAAAAGGTTTGTCTTTATAACTGGACAACACTTTAGAGCTTCCACTGAGATGTTAACTCTTTTTGAACATTTGAATCGTATTGGTGATACATCAAGCAGAGGGACAGCAAGTTACACCTCCAGATATAGGAAGCAGTTTTATCAACCAGAAGGACTCTCTTCCATGCTTCAGTGGATTACATGGAATACAAATTAATCAAAGTATACTTTCTGAAGTGCAGTGTTTCCTGGCTAGAATTATCTCTTCACTAACTGATTCCCCTTGTGATCTAGAGTTGATCTTTAACAAATATGATTACAGGCAAATGCTGAAAACGTCTGTAAATGCATACAAAATGATTTTGTTATTTGGAAGGAAAATATTGTGCATACATTTATGTGATCTTTTTTTTTATTTTACAGGTTCCGGGTTGGCAACATATGATCCAATGAAAACATTAAGCCTGTCCTATGAGGGATCTTTAAGCCATGCCCTGCTTGAATCAAGCATGAGATTCAGCGAGCAGTACAACTTCAAGAGTAACCAGAACTTTAAAGGATCCTATACATATCAGGCCAGAAGTGTTCTGGGATTAGATACTTCCGGAGCTGTTTCGTCCAAGTCATCAATAGCAAATAACATACTGACATCAGAAGTTGAGGCTAATGAGCGTTTTACTTTAGCATCATTGTTTGCCAACAGTGACTTAAGGCTTGTCACCACATTTAACACTGACACTTTCCAGGCTAAAGCTGATTCCAACTTCAACTTTGACTCCTCTTTCTTGAAAGTCACCAACAAGATGTCTGGAATGTTCTTGACAGAAGCGGTGACAATGTCTTCAACCACTGAACTGCTTGATGGAGCTCTTGTTAACACCATGTCCTTAGATTACCGGAATAAACAGCTGACCTTAAAGTCAGATACAAATGGAAATTACTACAATCTGGTTGGGTTAAACAAGCTCGAGCTCACCATTTCAAAACAGATGGGTGCTGTACGCTCTGAATGTCAGGCAAACTACAAGCGTAACAGGTTCTACACTCTTCTAACTGGCTCCCTGGATTCTCTTGGTCTAGAAGTAAATGCTGATGTGACCCTTAATAATCAGCAAAGCCGAGCTGCTCACAAAGCTACTTTAAAGCTTAGCCAAGATGGTCTGTCTACCAGTGCAACAACCAGTGTCAACTTTAAACCCTTAATGCTAGAGAATGAGTTTAATGCTGGAATTGGAAGTTCGGGAGCGGTGATGAAAATGATGGCAAATGGACGATACCGAGAGCACAGCACCAAGATTTCTGTTGATGGAAAAGTTTCCATGATGGAACTGTCTTTGGGTAGTGTCTATCAAGCTACAATTCTTGGTTTAGACAGTAAGAATCTTCTCAACTTTAAGATTAGCCGAGAAGGACTTAAATTCTCAAACAACCTAATGGGCTCATATGATCAGGTGAAACTTGAACACAGCAATGATTTAAGCATTGTGGGCACTACATTACAGTTTACCTCTAAGTTTGAAAATTCCTTAAGCTCTGACAAGTTCCACAAGCACAGATTTGACTTCCAGATGCAGCCCTACACTATGATATCTTTATTGAATAATGAACTACAATATGGCTCCTTGGAATTAACCAACGGTGCTCAGCTTCAACTTGAATTGTTCAAGTTAAATATCAATGGCAATGTCAGAGGTGCATTTAACAAAGATGAAATAAAACATTCCTATGGATTCTCGATTGGAAACATGGCTGCAAGCCTGAACACAGACACTGTTGCAAATATACAAGGAACAGCTCACACACATAGATTTTCCCTTGATATTGCTGGTCTCTCAGCCTCACTTAGCAGCAACACAAACTGTGAAGCAAAATCTATGCGCTTCAGCAACATGATCCGTTCTGTTGTGGAGCCGTTCACCATTACCATTGACTCTCAGACCAATGGAGATGGGAGACTGCTGATCTTTGGAGAACAATCAGGACAGCTTTACAGTAAATTCATCCTAAAAGCCGAGCCTCTTTCTTTCAACTTAGTCCATAATTACCGAGGATCCACCAGACATTCATTAGGTACAGGCTATACACACGAGACCCTTCTAGACTACAAAATCAACCTTTGTTCACACCAGCAGAGCAGTTAAGTTCTTTAAAACTGAAGAGCAGCCTGAACCAAAACACATACAACCAAGACTTTAGTGCATACAACAATGCTGATGGTATTGGAGTTGAGATTAATAGTCAGGTGTTGGCAGACCTCTCCATCCTGGACAAAGAGATCCGTCTACCATTTTCTCAGTTCAATCTAATTGATGCATTCAACATAAGAGACACTGTGAACAGTCCCCAAGAGTTTAGCATTTCTGGACACATAAAGTATGACAAGAATAAAGACATGCATGTCATCAGTTTGCCATTCATCGAGAACATGTCCATGTATTTTGATAAAATAAGAACTGTGTTGATTAATGCTCTACAGGCACTACAGAATTCATTGAAGGAAGTGAATATTGACCAATATGTACAGAGGTACAGAAGGGCGGTGGACCCCGCTGTGCAGAAAGTAATAGATTATGTGGAAAATGTGAATGTGGAAGAAAAGGTTAGAGTAGCAAAGGATAAAATATACACATTAACCAAAGAATATAAAGTTACTGCAGGGGAACTGCAGTCTGCAGTTGAGGAGTACTTTACAGCAGTTCAGTACCGCCTACAGGTCTACCTGAATGAAATGGACAAATACATAAGAGAGAATTATGACTTTGAGCAGCTTAAGAGAGCAATTGAGATGTTTATACAAACATGTTTTGACAAACTGAAGGCTTTAGATTCTGAATACAGAGTTCGGGAGAAAATCTTTGAAATGGTTCAGAACATACATGGGCAGCTGGAAGTATTTAATATCAATGATTTAGAACAAAAGCATGGCTGAATGGATTCAGAATGTAGACAACCAATATCAAATCAGAGCTAGGTTGCAAAGACTCTTACACGAAATTCAAGTGTATGTTCAGAGAGTTGATTTTGACCAAATATCACAAAACATAAAAGCAACACTGCAAAGCATTGACATATCCCAATACGTAGAGAAGATAAGAAACTCTTTGCCATTTGAGAAGCTCAGTGTTGTTATAGAACACATTAAAAATCTTATCAGCACACAGTTAGAGGAATTTGAAATAGGTGATAAAATAAATGCTGTTGTTGACAAACTACAAGACTTTGTTGCCGACTATGAACTTGACAAAAAAGTGGAAGTTATTCTAGAAAAGTTTGTTGAGTTCCTCAACCAGCAGAAAATCAAGGAGACGGTGAAAAAGCTAGCAGATATGCTTAATAACATTGATATCAAACTATATTACAAAAAAGTTCTCACTTTTGTTGATTCCACAGTGAAGCAATTGACAGACTATGACTTTAAGAAGCTCATTGAGGACATCAATTACTACCTTGATATTGTAATTAAGAAGATGCGATCTTTTGATTATGACAAGTTTGTGGATAATGCCAACATGTGGATAAAGGACAAAACCGAAAAGCTAAATGATAGAATGAAGGCCTTGGAACTGCCTCAGAAGGCTGAAGCCTTAAGACAGTATTTGAATAATGTAAGAGCAGTGGTAACCGAATATCTTCAACAAGTACGAGACACCAGACTTGCTGACATCATGCAGTGGTATGAGGATATCATGACCTCCACAGTACTAAATGAATGGAAGACCAGAACAGTTGAACATCTAGAAGATTACAGAGACCGAATATATTCAATGAACATACAAGAAGAATGTAAAAAATATCTACAACAACTGAGCCAGGCCTACAGACGCTTCTTGATGTTTGTAACAGAGCAGTGGAACCTTGCATCTATCAAGATTACCAGTTTTGCTGAAGAGAACAATATTAAAGAATGGTCTGACATGGTTAAAGTTTTTGTAGAGGAAGGATTTGTTGTACCACAAATTAATATAGGATTTATCCGCATTCCTGCGTTTGAAGTTAGCCTTCGGGCTCTTAGGGAGGCAACATTCAGGACACCATTCTTTACTGTGCCATTCACTGATCTAGAAATCCAGTCTGTGGAGATCAATTTTAGAAAGCTAAAAGATATGGAAATTCCAACGAGATATGTTACTCCAGAGTTCACTATTTTGAGTAGCTATAAAGTACCATCAATTATTATTGATCTGAATGAAATTAAACTTAAGATTGTACGTTTAATTGATCAGATCATTTCAAGTGACTATAAGTGGCCATCTCCAGATGTTTTATTAAGAGATCTAAGGATGAGTGACATGGGACTTCCTGAATTTTCCATTCCAGAAATCCAAATTCCAAGTATGCAACTTCCTGAATACAAAATCCCCAAACTAAATCTAGAAAATTTCAAATTTCCTGAAATACAGATTCCTGAATTCCAGCTTCCAAAGATTCCACACACTGTCTCTATTCCAACATTTGGCAAGCTTTCTAGCTCATTCAAAGTGACCTCACCATTTTTCAACATGGCAACTTTAGCTGAGGTCAAGAATGCTACTGTATCTGAGAAGTCTCCGGAAATCATTGCATCCCTCACAACAGAAGCCACATCTATGTTCGAAGCTTTGGCTTTTACTTTTGGTGCTGATGCTCGAATTTCTGCTCCCTTGCTGGAACAGTTAATCTTTAAAGAAACTGTTACATTGTCTCATCGCAATGTGAAATTGGATCACTTTAGTGAGATCACTTTCATGTCAAGTCACATTCAGACACGGATCCAAACCAATGCTAATCTAAGAGCTGAGGAGAGTTCAGCAGAGTTGCAGAATTCAATTACCGTGCAAATACAAAGGAGAATAACAGCAGATGTTACCACTAAATATTCCCAGAGACTCGATATTCCACTCCTATACTTCACAAGTCAGCTTGACCTTCAAAACGATATTGACACAACTGTGGACATTGGACGCATCACCCTTATATCTTCTGGCAAAGGAGGCTGGAAATATACTTGCAGGGATTTCTCAGATGGAGGTACTCATCAAGCAGATCTAAAGTTCAACCTGAAAGGTGGCAACATTGAGATATTGGGAACCAACAAGATCAATGACAAATTTCTAAAATTAGATCAAAGCCTCAAGTATGATTCAGTGTTCTTAAATTATGTGACAATTGAAATGATGTCAAAGGCAGATGCACCCAACATTGGAAACAGCATTATGACAGTTAAAGGAAGGGCACAGGTTAGTGAGATGAAAATGGAACTAGAGGCAAATCATAACTCAGAGTTAGCAGGGCGAGCAACTGGCACAATAAATAACAATTTTGCCTTTTTAGTAAAGGCATTTGAAATAAAACTGTCTACTGCTAACAATGGGAATCTCAAAGTCAGTTTCCCCCTAAAGCTCACTGGCAGGATTGAGTTTATGAACAATTATGACTTTACATTGAATCCTAATGTTCAGCAAGTGTCATGGCAAACCAGTGGAAGGTTCAACCAATACAAGATTGCTCATACTATTTCACTAGGAAATAATGAGGAAAATATTGGAGCTGTTTTGGAAATGAACGGAGAAGCTGTCCTTGACTTTCTCACAATTCCAGTCTCCATTCCAGAAATTACCATCCCATATACCTCACTTAAAACACCACCAGTGCAAGAATTCTCTTTGTGGGAAAGAACTGGACTGAAAAATTTGTTGACATCAACCAGACAGAACTTTGATCTGAATATTAAGCTTCAATACCAAAAGAACAAAGACACACATGCAATTCCTCTGCCCTTAGATACACTCTTTGATTCTATAAATACAAACATCAAGACCTTCAGCAAAAAATTTGAAATTGGGCGGGACAAAACATTGAATTTCATGGTAGATTCCTATAACCAAGCTAAGACAAAATTTGATAAGTATAAAGTAGACAATCAGGTGAGCAAAATTCCAAGAACCTTTAGGATTCCAGGCTACACCATCCCAGTGGTCAACATTGAGGTTTCTTCTTTCACTGCTGAGCTTCCAGCTTTTGGATATATGGTTCCTAAAGAAATAAGCACCCCAAGCTTTGTGGTTCCAGTGATTGGATTCTCCATCCCAACCTACAAATTAGTTCTACCCTCACTTGAAATGCCCGTTCTTCATGTTCCAAATTCCTTACGCAGACTGTCCCTTCCTAAATTAAAGTTACCAACTGGACAGAACAGTATTTTAATTCCAGCTATGGGTAACCTCACTTATGATTTCTTCTTTAAAACCAATGTGATTTCACTAACCACAAGTGCTGGAATATATAATCAGTCTGACATCTCTGCTCGGGTAAGCATAGCCTCTACCTCGGTTATTGACAGTCTTCAATTTAATATAGATGCAACTACTTCTCTCACCAGGAAGAGAGGGCTAAAACTGGCAACAGGACTAGTTTTGAAGTCTGTCTTTGCTGAGGGAAAACATGAAAGTTCCATATCATTTGGAAAGAGAAACATGGAAGCATCTGTCATCACAAATGCAAAAATAGACACAAGTTTGATAAACAGCACCTTCAAACAAGAACTTAATGGCAACACAAAGACAAAGCCTACTGTTGTATCTAAAATATCCCTTACATATGACCTTAATGATGCATTATTTGGAAACACAGCAAAAGGAAAGCTTGATCACTCTTTAAATCTTGAGGGACTTACATCTTACTTTTCACTGGAAACTCAGACAAGTGGAGATATAAGTGGAACTATTTTGTCTGGACAGATGTTTTATGGAATGTTTACCAATGATGCAAACACCTACCTGAATTCCAATGGCCTTAGGTCATCTGTGAGGCTTGTGTCCAGATCTAGAGCAGACAGCATTGGAAACATGGACTTGACTGAGAGTCTGGCTGTTGAAGCGTCTACCAGCCGTGTATTTGCCCTTTGGGAACATAAAGGAGAAAACTATTTCAGGATCACCCCACTTTTTACATCAAAGGGACAGCAAAGCAGCAAGGCAACACTAGAGTTGGCTCTTTGGAGTCTGCTGGCAGACATTCAAGTCCAGATTAACCAACCCAATTCATTCATTGATGCTGCATCGTTAAACCAAGGCATTTCACTAACCCTTAATACAGAGAAGCAAGAACTTAGTGTGAAAGGTCATGGCATTATAGAATCCCTTATTGCTACTCATGATCTGAA